GAGGGGAAAAAAAAAGAAAAAAAGACAAAAACCACCAAAACCCCAAGGCCTCCAAGTCTCTGCTGCTACCCCAGCCCCACGTCTGCGAGACCCGCGGCCATGCCCAGCCACCCCGTCGGCACCGTGCTGCTGGTGCTTGCTCTCTACGCCCTCCTGGAAGATGGTGAGCCCCGGGCTGGAACGGGGGCTCGGTGCCCCGGGAGAGCCCGCCCTGGCAGGGGGCGCCCCCTTTGGGAGCGAGACTCCGTGGGGTGCCCGGGGTCTGCCTGAAGGCTGCGGGGTGGGGGGCACTGCAGGACTGCTGCACCGTGCACTTGCTCCGGGGGTAGCCCCGGCAGCTGCCAGGGTTATGCAAGTTCTTTGTGAGCCTGCAGCCTAATTGGTGAGGCTGTACCTCCTTTAAAACAGCCTGCGTATGGAAATCGCCGTGTTCCTTCCCGGAGGTGTAACTGCAGAGGGGCCAGACCCATGCACCGAGCCTGCAACTCATCCCTTCCTCCTTCTGCTGCAGGTATGGGCCATCCCCTGCCGGGGTCCCAGCTGGCCACAGCCAGTGCATCCCACCTGAGGACCAAGCGATGCTCCTGCAACAGCTGGCTGGATAAAGAATGCATTTACTTCTGTCACCTGGACATCATCTGGGTCAACACACCAGGGTGAGCATGAATGCAGCTTTCTGGGGGTCGCGGGCAGCTCTGTTGATGAGTGATTGTACTTTCTTGATTGAGGATGGGGTGAGGTTAGAGGAAGGTGAGAAGGGGTCCCAGTGCTGTGAGGCTCTGGTAGCACCTGCTCCGGAGACCATTGCAAATCCAGCCCTTTCCAACTTTTAGAAAGGGACAAGCTTGGGAGTTTCAGTGTAACCCACAGAGGAGAAGGTGAAAGCACAAGGTCTGCCTCCTTGTGTGTTCATCTTTTTCTGAGATTAGTACCTCTGTAAGCTGAAAGCACCACCAAAATGTTATAGCTGCAAGTCAGAAAGTTACTTCACCCACTTGCAAACTGTAGCTGCTGACTGCCAGTATTGTTAATGAGACAGTGGTGGGCTGGCACTGAAGTCCCGTGGCTGCCAAGTCCTGCCCTCAGGAATGCTCCAGCAGCTTTCCAAGCAGTTTCAGACCAATGGCCATCTCACTGTAGCAAAACACATGTACTCAGGTGTGGTTGTAATCACACTTGCTAACGTGCAATTACAACTCGCTGCTTGCTCGGAGAATACTTGCAGTCACTGCCAATCCTAAACCCTCTGGGAGAGTAGATTGCGATCAAAGATGGAGCGAGAATGTGCTAACAGCACTGAAGGCATGCTGTGATCAGAAGAATCTGTTATGGCCCCAAGACGTCTTGATTTGTGCTATGTCCTGTGTGGCAGAGGGTGGGAAAGCCCTGACATCTCCCTGCTTGAGAACCTGGCTGCTGGTGGGACTGGGTGGACTGGGGCAGCCGTGCTTCTCCTGCACTTTTCTGCCCAGCTGAACTGCCAGCTTGCCCAGCCCATGCGGCGACCCTTGCACGGGCACCTGGGCTGCTGAAAGGAGAGAAAATTCCCTGTGCAACCCAGCACATACTGGCACGGCAATCGCCCTGGGAGGGTTAGGGTGGGAAAGGAGCTGCAGTTTAAAGGCTCAGCCATATCGGTGACCTTTTCACCTTCTGTGTATAGATGAGTCTTTTATTATGCTGGCACTGGCTTGGCTGCCTCCCAGGACTGTGTTATAAACCTGCTGGCCAATAAAAAGTTAGTTGCAGAGCTGATTTCTTTTGTTTTGAACAGGCATACTGCTCCCTATGGCTTGGGAAGCCCGCCCCGGCGGCGCAGGAGGTCGCTAGGCAGGTGCGGGTGCTCGCGCTCGAGGGACAGCATCTGTGCCACCTTCTGCCAGACCAAGCCCGGGTAAGTCAAGGCGTGCTGGGGGTGTCCCTGGGTCTGCTTGGTTGGGGGTGCAAGCAGACAGATGAAGCCTAGGGGCTGGAATAACTCGAGAGCCTCTCTGGGGATGGCTGCAGAGCTCTGCAAACAGCTGGAAGTTGTCTAGTGGCTTTTGTACCCCTCCCAAGAGGCCCTGGCAGAGCGTCTCTTTACTGGCTGATGTGAGGCAATGTCACCTCCATCCCTCCTGCTGCCAGGAGGCTGAGGAAGTGCTGGTGCACTGGTGGGAAGGGGGGAGCTGGCAGCACGCTGGAAGAGGGACAAGTGGAGGGCATGAAGCTTGTGGACATCTATGCCTCCTGCACGGAGGCAGGAGGGAGAGGCTGCAGGAGAGCAGGGCTGCAGTGAGCAGTCAAGTATCTCCTGCAGCTGGCTCCTCTTACAGTGTACGTGGGCTCTGGGTTGTCTATTGGAATAGTATTGCTTGCACTATGGGGAGGTGGGGAGCAAAGTCATTGCAGAGATCTGTCATTAATTTACTATCAATGCAATAGCTAAAATCCCCAACGATTAAATACAACTGTGAATAGAGTGAGGATAGAAGTAAAAGTGAGCTATAAGTAGCTCTCAAATAACTGCAATTAACCCTTCAAAACGTGTATTTAACTGTCTTAGTCTGTCAGTGGTAATGTTAGAACAACACTTCTCCTGGTACTTGCCATAGCATGGCTGGGTGTGAGTGGTTCATACGTCTCCTCCTGCTATTTAGGTACCTTCAGCGTGTGAAGCTCCCAGCAAGCTCTGGAGCATCAGTGAAGTCTCCACAGAGCAGTGGCGTGAAGCCCTCCCATCATGGCCTGCTGAGAGCTCTCAGGTGAGCATGGCACTTAAACTCACCCTGAACATCCCTCATAAGCACTTTAAAATCTGTGGTCGTGACCCAGGGCTGCAGTTGCTACTTGGATTTGACCTGACCTCCCCCTCTTGTCTCCCTTTGAAGGAGCAGACCTGACTATTTCTGCTCTCTGTAGAATTGAAGGCTAACAGCGGAAGGAACCAGGGTTGCTTGTCTCCTACAAAACTAGAGGAATATTACATCAAATGTAATTCTTGATTTAAGTGGGAAGTCCCTCTGATATGGGAGAGGCAAATGAGTGATGTATAAGAGGGAGGGACACAGCATCACATAGGAAAATGATGGATTGGGCAGCAGTGTTAGACCAAATGAAATAGCTCTTCTTGCACCGCATCCTTGAAGTGTTGAACTCAGTGCTGGGAGAAACCGAGGACTCCAGGAGTGTAAATGAGTTGAAGGGAGTTGGCAAATCACAGGAGGATTGCTCCATTGATGGCTGTTAAATCAGACACAATGGCAATAATTTCTGAAAGGCAGATCTGGGGAAGCATCTCTTGGGTCATGCCCTGCTGCAGGACTCCTTGAAGCCCCTGGTGGAAAGGGGATGTTAGGCTATGGGGATCTCCCCTGTGACTTAATACAGCTGCAGCTAGAAATGCCCCCTCTTCCTTCCCTCATCTTCTGCCTCGAAATAAATCTTGGCGAAGGGTAGACAAATATCATAATTTGGGCTGTGAGAATGACCACCGTGTCCCTTCCATTTACAGGGATATTGCTGTCTCTCGTCTGCGGTTTAGCGAGCATCAACACCGTTCTCAGAGGAACGCGCAGCCAACGGTTTTGCCTTGGAAGAAAAACATCTGGAAGAAAAAGAGATAAGGAACAGGCGCCTGCCAAGTTCACCAGAAGAATTTGGAGTCCTGTGGGTGCCGCTAACTCCGCTGTCGGTAGTTAGAGCTGAAGGAAAGGCCATGAATGGAAGGGGGAAGAAGTGGAAGTCTCCATGCTCCTGTTGCGTGAACCAGTACTGCATGCACTTCAGAGACTGTTGTAAAGGGAAAACTGCCTCTGTATACAGTCATACATGTGTCATGGAGCTGAATTGTGCCTTTTTGGATCAGGCGAGGGTCTTGCTGGTAGAGTACTTGCTTACCTCTGCACTGGAGCCCTAGGCAGAGAGTCAGCCTGCACTGGGCAGTGGGACCACTTACGAACTGGAGGGCTCTGGGCAAGCCTGGAGCTGGCAGTGCTGAGTCCGCACCACTGTCCTGAGCCACGTTTGAACATGGCTCCAGCTTGGCCCTTGGTTTGGCTGGTTGTTGTGGATGGGGATAACTCCTCCAGTGTGAGCCCACCTGCCCGAGCACACCTTTGCACTTTTTTCTCTCATTTGTCAGACAGTGCGATGTGTGTATCAATGAGACTCCCATGATAAAACAGCTCCCAGTAATTAACAAATACAGATTTCATTCAGAAGCCTGGAAGCCAGCTCAGTAGTCAGTGGCATTCTTGGCTGAGAAATTCACTGAAGGGCTGGCCTTAAGTGGCTCGTGTTTAGGTGGAGGTTGGCTCCCTTACACTGGAGCCTGTTTCGCATCCAGGCATGGTCCCTGCCCTCAGGGGCTGGGAGGCTGCAGTGGAGCTGTAATTCGGCAGGAGTCCTGTGCATGCATCCCTGCTGGGTCCAAGGCAGAGCCAAGCTGCTGGGCTGGATGAGTTCAGTGCTGTGAACCTGTCTCATCTCCTTGGACGTATCCTTAGTGGGGCAGAGTACTTCCAGCTCTTAACCGCATATCCCAGCTTGCTTTCAGCTCTGCCTGAAAGGAAAAGCTTGGGGCAGAGCAGATGGGTGGTGGGAAAATAGCACGCCAAGGCTTGCTTGCTGCTTCGCTTAGATCAGGTCTCTGAGTTGGACTCCACATTAACTGAATGACCAGTGTATGGAGAGCGTGTCACTACGGGAAGCGTACCCTGAACAGAGTGCATCGGGCAAGGGGCAGCCAGGGATTGCTGTGGAGAAAGGGTGGCCAAGAAGAGAGCATGGCACTGTCTGCACAGCTTTAGAAGAAAGATCTGGATTTAAACCCGTGTCAGAATAACAGCTGCATCCCCAGGCCTGGAGCTGCACAGTGCTGTGGCCCAGAGGAGGAGAGGAATAATTTGGAGGAAACACTGAGCCCAGGACCTAGAAAACCAATCCTACAGGCAAACACAATCTCAAGGCTGTGGAGCTGTACCACAAATGCACTTTTGTTTGCCTGGGCAGACTATCTTCTGTTATAAATGATGGCTGCAGCTGTCATCTGGTTTGTGCAGATAAATAATTGCTCTCCTGGAACCACTGTTGGGTCCCTCTTGCTGTCCAATCCAGTATTACACATGAGCGTTTAAAAAGGCTGCTTGAAGTTGGTGGTGGACCAAAATCTGTGGCTGTTGCAAGTGTAGTCCCATTGGACATACAAAATACTTTCTTGATTTTGCTTTAAGCCCTGGAGCAGGGAAAAATGAGACCAATTGATTGTATTGTAAATGAAACAGCAGACTAATCATTTGGTCCCCAAAGCTGCAGAGAAACTGTTTTATATTTGACCTTCTGAAGGTTTGAGTCACTCTAAAAAAAAATCCTGAAAGGGTTTGTTCCAGAGGAAACTTTGCACATGGTTTAATGTGAGCCTAGTAATTTAAAATAAAAATACTGCTGTAAAGTACTATGTATATCTCCTTGTGTGAATTACGTCTCATCTTTAAGTGACTTATTGCACACATGCCGTATGTAGCATCCTGAAATCTATATATTTATTTAAATCGATTGATTTTTTGTAGATAGTAATTTGCAAAATTTAATTTGTAATAAATAACGACAAAAGCCAATACCATTTTTATTCCTTATTTGATGGCTGGGTTGCAGTGGATGAAGCAAAAGAATCGCAGATGGGCAGAAGCACTGTGAAAGGGAGTGGGACAGCAAAGCTGGGTGAGAGTGGGGAGGCTGCATAGTCTTGTGAACAGTCCTGAGCAAATTTCAGTTCAAAGTGAATCCGTTTAGGTGACTTAAACACTCCTTAACTTGAAATAAACACTTGGTTCCTTTCTATAAGTCTATGGGAACATAAGATGTAGAATAATCCCCAAGCTGTTGTGCTTAGGTCTGTGGATGCTGAGAGCAGCTTGAATCCTTGTGCTGAGGGACCCTGTTAATGTTCTCCTGTGCTTTAGTCCTTTCTTTCAAATCCTCTCAACAGCTCTGGCTGTGGGTGTCAGCACTGCAGGGACAGAGCATCCACACGCTCTCTCCTGCACTCACCAACTTCAGCATCTGTTTTGCTGATTCTTTTTAATTTATTTTTTTTTAAGTACAGTTAAAAAGTTAGCATCCATTTGATATTCTTTGCATGAAGACCACACCATAGATTATTCTGGTGTAGTTAACTCATGGCACAACGGGGAATAAAAAAATAAATATTAGTGTAATAACCAGCATTGTGCTTGCTGCATACCCAGAAACCATTGCACTTCTTTGTGGGTTTCCATGGCTTCCTGGGAAGTCATTCAGAGGGCTACAGCCCCATTCTTTCCTATTGCCCATTTTTCTTGGCTGAGCTGCATCACCCATGGCCAAGCCTCCACCTCGTGACTTGGTGTTAGGGTGTGAGAAAATCAGATTCCTTCAGATATTTCTATGACAGTCATAATTTCTATGAATTCAATGTTAAAGATAAATGATAAAAAAGATCTTGAATTACAGGTAAAGGAGAAAAAAGACACCCTGAAACACTGCAATTTCCCTAGGTATAATATCTAGGGTGCAATTCTCCCCTCTTCTACTCAAACTTTTACCAGAAAAGGACTGAAAATTTTGCCTGTTCAGGGTAATTTCCACAGTGTCCTGCTTGGACTGATTCAGATGGAGTGAATAAGGGAGCTGAGGACCATTGCAAATCCATTCAGTTCCCAGGAAGGGCTTCCCCATCATCTGCAATGTCTACTGAGCCAGCCTTGGGCCCAGCCTTTTCTTTGTCATCCTTAAGTCACAGAAGAGCTATGGTGTTGTCAGCCCTTGGTGTCCCAGGACAAAACATCCCTGCTCGGGCAGCTTATGGCCCTGCCTTCCATGAGAGCAATAGTGCAGGGAGAGCATTGTTTTGGCTGGAGGGGTGACCATAAGGAGTGTTCTCCAGCCCTGCTACACTGTTCGGACTTAGAGCAAGACATTCAAATGAGGAGAGAGACAATTTGAACTAATTCATTAGTGTCTGGGTTTGGTTTTGTTTGTTAGGTTTGTTTTGTTGGGGTTTTTGTTGGTTTGTTAGTTTTTGTTTGGGGTTGATTTTGTTTGTTTTGTTTGGTGTTTTGTTATTTTGTTTTGTTTTGTTTTCTGGCCCTAAGATCAATGAACAGAGGAGGATTTCCAGACTGGGCTGAATGTTGGAAAATCTTCCAGGGCAAGCTCTTCACATTCACTTGGGGAAACTTTAGACTCACCGGTGAGTAGTACAGAAGGAAATATTGGAAGTCAGCATATCTGGATAACCAGTTTAGAAATACCACAGTCCACATATCCAGAAAAGTCCTTGATCAAAAAAATCTCAGAAGATCTGCTTGCCAGGGTCTTATATCAGCCCCATCAGGTGTCCCACCCAGTGCTGAGGAGCAGCCTGAGCCTGGCAGTGACCCTGTGGTGCTGCCTGGCAATGCCAGCATCTGTGCAAACCCCAGCCCTTTGGGTACAGTTTTAATTACAAGAGCTAATTAGGTATCACCCAAAGGAAGAAGAGAAGGGAGATGCTTAAGAGCATCTTAATTAGGGTGAAAAGGGAGAAGAGAGGACAAGCTTATTTTGAGGTTATTGAATTCAGCATTAAAGGTTAGCTGAAGTAGGTTGAAGGAGGCATGTTTTATAAATTCTCACACGTAACAGGAAAGAACAGAATAACAAAACTTTATCATAGAGCATAAACCAGCAAAACAAGCAACTTCAAAAGCCAGTTCTAAATGCAAGTGCTAGGGTATCTTTCCAAGGATACAACTTTTTGATCAAGCAGTGCTTTTTATGACTGACAATTCCCATAGAAGTGGACCTCTTGTGCCCTGCATGTGACTGGCATTTTTTCTGCAGCAGGAGTTCCTCAAGACGAGCCTCTATAAACAGCCCACACACAGCTAACTTTCCTTCTGTACTGTGGGACAGTTCTGTCCTCATCAGGGTAGGCAAAATGGCTTTCTTCTTTTGTGGGACTTTGTTCATATCTCACATTTGTTGGACTGGTAGGTTCTGCTCAGGAGAAGATGTGCTGACACAAAAATAGAAGGCTATTTGGGTGGATGCATTTTCAAGGCCAGCCTTTGATGCTTCCATGGAAAGAAGAAGCTGTCCATAGTAGCTATCTGCTTTGCTAGAAGTTTCTCCTGCATGGCTTTTCATAATTTTGCCCTGCTTTGGTTTGGATCACCCTGCAGAAGAGCTGGGCCTTGTGAAATAAGACCTATGGTGCAACAGGAGGAGAAGGGACACCGAATAATGGTGCAAAGTGATGTTTCGCCATGGGTCAGCAGCTGGTCCTCTTGCCTTTGGTTTTGGAACCTCTGTCCTGAGCTACAAGGTCAGTGGCTCTGTGGAGGCTGAACATGGACCAGCAGTGTAGACCCCCAGACAGCACTGGTGGCCTGCCCAGCAGCTCTATCTATAGGATTCAGTGTCTCACAGAAAGCTTTCACTCCTGCGTGTGACTGAAGCTGAAGCTTTTCTAGCCAAGGAAATACAGGGCTTGACTAAACTTCTGTAAAGTTGCCAAATCTTTTCTCTAGATCCAGTATCCATGGGTATGAAGATTATTGACTTGACTGTCTTGAGCTGGCTGGAGTGAGGAACAGGTGAATTT